CTCTGTGTGTAATAACTCTTTTCACCATTTTTAAAAGAAAAGTGCACATGTCCCAAATCTGTTTCCAAGATCTTGAGTGTAAGATTCAAGAATCTAAGATCTTCACTTCTTGGTAGTTTTTCTAAGAGCTTGAGTACAAGAAGTTCCATTAAGGCAGTGTAAATAACAACTTTCAAGACAAATACACAATTTAAAAAAGATCCTTTGTTTTTGAATTTTTGAATTTATTAGCTATGCCACCCAAACGGCATTGAATCACGTCTTTTGAACATAAGTAAAATGCTTTTAAATATAACTCTTAACTATCATCTTTGAAACGATAAAAAAAGTTATTTATCTTTTTTCTTCCGCTACAGGAAGAATATTATTAAAAAGGATATCGTGTCAAAAGAAGAATTTTGTTTAAGAAAAATGTGTTCTTTAGGGATAGTATTTGTTCTTTTTGTTACTATTAACAGGCTTTTTGTAGGGTCGTAATTTGTGTAATGGATAATTATTTTTATAAAATATTGTGTCTTTCAAACGTTGTTATGAACAACAATTGTAAATGTACTGAGTAGATTGTAAGAGTTGTGTTGATCCTTTTGGAGGAGGACTTTGTTATCTGTCATTGATGTATATACATGTGTTATACTGAGTGACATTAGAGAGGGATCGATAACATGCAACCAATAAGAAGGCGAATTTATCTTAGTTTCAACGTAGGTGAATCAGAACAGTTCTCTAAACGAACAACAATTCATTTTAATATTTCAATTGATTAAGTTTATTCTTCTCTTCAAAAATAAATTAATAATTATATAACTAATTTAACTAATTAACTTTACTGTAATTTTGATATTTTTAGTCCTTAATATTTCCACTATTACCTATATGAAAAACTGTAGCTGATGATTTCAGCTGCCCTTTACAGGCACGCATAACCGATTTCATAAATGAAAATAAAATGAAAACATGAAAATACAAAGAGAACTGTGGAACAACGGAACTACAACCATGACTATCGATCTGTCTCAACACTAGAGCAAGCGCTACTGTTTAGAGCGAGAGTGACATCTGGCTCGATCAAAGCGTGTACCATCGATGCTTGAAATATTCACATTATACCAAGTTCTTGGATAATGTCTCAAGCATTACAGAACAGTCTTTCATCGTTTAATTTATTACCACTAGAGTACTTTCATACAGTTTCGCCCACGTTATATAAAAGTATAAATTCGCAAAACTTCAACATACACGCGTTTGAGGTAGTAGTGAATTGAAGTAAAGATCCCAGTTTTGGGCCAGCAAAAAAAAATTATGGAAGGTGGTTTCTCTGGCGATCGAAGTTTTTAAGTAACCCTTGCTAGGCAACTTTCAGTCGAACGCCTTGTACAATTAAGCATTTTGCATGTCTCCTTTTGTAGTCTAGTTAAAGACAAAGTTCATTTGTACTGTTATCAATATCAATGACTTGTTGTAGTATAACACGGTAGATTTTTCTTATTTTCTCTGGAATAGTAGTACTCACCAAGATCTACAAAAGCCGATACAAAACTTTCATTTTCTCTCTTCTTCATGGTTTCCAGAGGCGCGACATTGAATAAATCTAAATAGCAGTTCTCTTGCTTCTTTCTAATTTGATTTTCATTTCCAATAGGCGCAAATTAATTAGTTTTAAGTAGATTTTTCTCACCGAACACGAATTTATTAAAAAACGAGTCAAAAAGAAGAACTTAGAAGAACGTTTGAAACAGATTTCAGAAGATTTATTTCTATTGGTTCTCATTGAACGAAAAAATTATGACCATGATAAAATTTGTATCTATTTGTTTGCTCAATCTGCTTACAGTAGAGAAAACAAATGTTTACTAAATAATGTTACATTCGTGCTATTTAAGAAAAATATCTCGCTTGAATTACTCATCCTTACTGTCCAAAGTTTTCGATGAAGTCACTAATACTACAAAACGTATATATTGAAATTTTCCCGGGAAGTTTAAACTTTTGTATAAAGTAGACAGAGCTGTAAGGCAGTATCTACTGATCCACTGACTAGGCAGAGAGTTTCGGCGCATTAACTAATATACAACATAATATTTCCTAAAGAATCCTATTTGATGGTATATTATTCTCCATTAAACTTTATTACACTCATCAACGTCATTGTATTTACAATTTATATTTTCTAAGTGTTAATTAATCGGATAATTTTAATCATTAATCTCCCATATCAACATTCATTCGTAAAGATCGGTAACGACGTGATGTTTCGAAGAACTATATGAGAAATAATTTAACTATTTGTGATTTTTCTGAGCCGAATCATCAGTGCGAAGAAAACTTCATGCTATTCCTAGACAAAATCCTACGCCTTTCCTAAAAGTACCTGTTATTAGTCGCTTTTTCTTGTTCAGTAATTTCTTTACGGTCTGTTACTCTTTTAGTCTGAAAGAGAGAAAGTTTTATCTTATATTATATGAATACCCAGAACAATTTTCAACGTACTTCATCTGTCGACGTGTCAACTGCTGTTTCATACAATATCAGTTTATTAAAATGCATTTGACCAGATATTATTGCTCTTAACCGTTTAATTTCATCTTCATATTGTCTAATGAGTACGCGAGGTGAACTTTCATTGACAATTGGCGTATTACGAATATTCTTAGTACGTGAAGCGTATCTAAAACGTAAAGGAAAAGTTTAACTTAATCACAAGCAGAATGGAAACATAAGAGCTCGAAATCATCTATTAGACACAAATCTTACCTTAATGTGCACAATGTTTCTTCATAATTATCTTCGGATGGTGAAATGCACGCGATCATAATTGTTTTTGTTGTTCCACCTACTGAATCTTGTAATAATCTTGTTAATTTTGAGTCTCTGTAGGGGATATGTTTTGATTTTCCGTCAACTAAAGACGATATCACTTTATTCAACGCTGATAATGACAAATTAATTTTAGCTGATTCAAATAAACGTTGTGCACTACATCCAGTTTTTGTTTGTCGTTCACTTCCAGCTAAATCAACAAAATTTAATTTTCCTAGTCGTACAAGTCGATGTTTTTCATTCGATGTTGTAAATGTAGTATGTTCAATTAAAATACAAAACATTGTATGACTTCGAGATGAATCCGAATTCATTTGTGTCGATGCGATTGATCGTTGCAAATCACCCTGACGTTTAAATTTAGAACATTCATCGGATGTTTGTACTTGATGCCATGTTAAATTTGTTACACATACACCATTTAATGAATTTTCACGTATTTCTAGTTTTTGATGACGATGATCAGATTTAAATAATAGATCACGCAATTCTTCATTGTAAACTGCGTTTAAATAATAAAAAAAAATGTGATCGAATCTATCACTTTAACTGTCGATATGACACTTACTTTCTAAGTATGCACATTTAACCATAAATTTTTCGAAATTTGTTATCTCACTATTATTATTATTATCCAAAATCTTCAAATCTTGAAAGGATTGCCTATTGAAAGCATCAGAATTTTTCTTCTCATTGATTTTGAGTGGATCGATACTTTCATGATAATTTATTAAATCAAATACATGTTCGATTGCTTTTGATATCAGACCTTTTTCCGATGAACACGAACATCCAGTCATTGTCCAAGACTTTCCTAGAACATTTGTAGGTGAAAATTAATTGTTGAGGTAATAGTTATTTACCCACCACTTCCGGTTTGTCCATAGGCAAATATTGTTCCCGAATATCCATTTATCGTTGCTGCTAATACTAATGGCTGAACAGATTCGGTGAATATTTGATCTGTTTTATGATAATCATCATAAATTGAGTCAAATCGAAATATTCTACAAATACGGCGTTTATTTTTTATTGGACTCAATAGCCGAACTATTCCACTTGATAAGAGTAAATCAACACATTTTGATGAGCTCGATGCCAATTCTCGATGACTAAATGGACGACAACGGATTAAAACTTTGACACTTTCAGATCTAATATTTGAATAATGTGTTAAACGATGATGTTGCATAGCAAATTTCAGATAACTAACTTTAGTTCAATATTTTGAATTTGTAGTAGGAATAAACACAAGATTAAAAAATAGTAAAATAACTTTTTATTACAAAGAAAGCGTTCAGGTCAAAAGTTAAGAAGAAGAGTAATCAATATAACAATAAGAGAAATTGTCTTGGTTACTTAATAGACTTAACTTAACAAAAAAAGATCTAAAAGATCTAAAAGATACTCGTCTTGCACATGATTCGATGTAGATTGACGAACTGATTTCGATTATGTGTTTTTTATTTATTAGAAATAAATTCTTTTAATGAGCTGATTTAGAGCTTAGCTACAATAAGCACACTCATTATACTGAAGGAGTGTTCTTCAGAGACTTTATTACCGTGAAAAAGACGTTTTTTCTTTTTGAGTTTCAGTTCAATCCAGAAATTTATCCGTTAATCGGTTCCCCAAGAGTAATGACGCATGATAGAAAATATGAAGTTTAGGGAACGTTTCAAAATGTATTGTCGCTATTCCACTATTCCTCGACTATTCCTCTCTTATTCCTCTGTCATTCCTCTATTCCCCAATTATTCCTCTATTATAGAATTTAAATTCTAATTTATTTTATTTTATTTTGTATAATTCGGTTTCTTTGATTGTATTGTTGATACATACATCGGCTATACTTCTATACTTCCAATGTGTTCGTTTTTTTAGCAGACATCTTTATAAGAGCAGACATTTTTCTGTTTAAAGAATAAAATCAGAAAGTAACAAATTTTATATTTTCATCAAATGTTCATCTTTTTTATATTCAAGGAGGCGAGTGCTCACTGTAAACTTATTTCGTATTGCACCAACTTCGCGAACTAACATTACACTAATTAGAATAGACCCATTTCCATCTTTTATACTAGTTTAAAGTGCACGAGTTGTACACTATGCTGGTCTATTTTTTTAGAAAAGGAAAACTTGCTTTTTTAAACAATAATTAACCATATTCACAGTCATATTTCTCAAAGACTAAAAGGGATCCTTAATAAGAGAGGAATAGTCGAGGAATAGGGGAACAGCGGAATAGAGGAATAGCGACCGACTGACCGGAGTACATTTTGAAACGTTCCCTTAGTTATCATAAAAAGTATCTTTCTTTTCATATTACTTTTCAGGCTAATTTTTGAGCATGAATTTCCTCATTTTTTCAATAGAGCTAAGATGTTGTTATTCTAAAAAGTGTAGCAAAAATTTAAAACTAAATAATGTATTGTTAATTAATTACATAATATGACGAATGTACTATTTAAGCTTAGAAGCGTACTGCAACATTTTTAGATGAATTGTTTTGCATAACGGCATTCATACATAAGCATCTCTAGTATAACTGTAGATTTAACATCGGACTACAGACGTGTATTATTTTGATTTTATTGTCAAGTTTTTCTAAAAATTGTTATGCGATTGCTGAAGACGTTGGTAACTGTCAAAACGTTTAGCTGTTGAAAATAATAATTGTACGAATAAAAATATATTAAAAATTATATTTTATCAACTAGTAGGAAATAAGGGCGTAGGATTTTGTGTAGGAATAGCATGAAGTTTTCTTCGCACTGATGATTCTGCTCAGAAAAATCACAGATAGTTAAATTATTTCTCATATAATTCTTTGAAACATCATGTCGTTACCGATCTTTACGAATGAATGTTGATATGGGAGATTAATGATTAAAATTATCCGATTAATTAACACTTAGAAAATATAAATTGTAAATACAATGACGTTGATGAGTGTAATAACGTTGAATGGAGAATAATATACTATCAAATAGGAGTTTTTAGGAAGTATTATGTTGTATATTAGTTGATGCGCCGAAACTCAGTGGATAAGTAGATACTGCCTTACAGCTGTCTACTTTATACAAAAATTTAAACTTTCCGGGAAAATATCAATATATACGTTTTGTAGTATTAGTGACTTCATCGAAAACTTTGGACAGTAAGGATGAGTAATTCAAGTGAGACATTTTTCTCAAAGAGCACGAATGTAACATTATTTAGTAAACATTTGTTTTCTCTACTGTAAGCAGATTGAGGAAACAAATAGATGCAAATTTTATCATGGTCATAATTTTTTCGTTCAATGAGAACCAATAGAAATAAATCTTCTGAAATCTGTTTCAAACATTCTTCTAAGTTCTTTTTGACTCGTTTTTTAATAAATTCGTATTCGGTGAGAAAAATCTACTTAAAACTAATTAATTTGCGCTCATTGGAAATGAAAATCAAATTAGAAAGAAGCAAGAGAACTGCTATTTAGATTTATTCAATGTCGCACCTCTGGAAACCATGAAGAAGAGAGAAAATGAAAGTTTTATATCGGCTTTTGTAGACTTTGGTGAGTACTACCATTCCAGAGAAAATAAGAAAAATCTACCGTATTATACTACAACAAGTCATTGATATTGATAACAGTACAAATCGACTTTGTCTTTAACTCGACTACAAAGGAGACATGCAAAATGCTTAATTATACAAGGCGTTGGACTGAAAGTTGCCTGGCAGGGGTTACCCAAAACCTTCGATCGCCAGAGAAACCGTCTTCCATAATTTTTTTTTGCTGGCTCAAAACTGAGGTCTTTACTTCAATTCACTACTACCTCAAACGCGTATATGTTGAAGTTTTACGAATTTATACTTTCAAAGTATAAATTCGTAAGCATATAGCCTAGACTATATGGGTAAAAGGAAATCGAATAAAAACACGCGTCTCAGAAGTTGTTTTTTTTCATATGTATATAACGTGGGCGAAACTGTATGAAAGGACTCTAGTGGTAATAAATTAAACGATGAAAGACTGTTCTGTAATGCTTGAGACATTATCCAAGAACTTGGTATAATGTGAATATTTCAAGCATCGATGGTACACGCTTTGATCGAGCCAGATGTCACTCTCGGTCTAAACAGTAGCGCTTGCTCTAGTGTTGAAACAGATTGATAGTCATGGTTGTAGTTCCGTTGTTCCGCAGTTCCTTTGTGTTTTCATGTTTTCATTTTATTTTCATTTATGAAATCGGTTATGCGTGCCTGTAAAGGGCAGCTGAAACTTAACGATGTTTATAATGGCTGGTGGTACTGGCATGCATGTTATACAAAAATATTATATAAAAAACAATATTATCTGAAATTAAATCAGCTTATTAGTGAATTAGGAATAGCTATTATTTAAGTATTTCAATAACCACTTTTGTTTGCATATCGTGATTGTTTCTTTACACCCTTTTTTGTCGGCTGAGAAGAGTTATGATGCGGTCAGCAGGTAATTGATAAAAACGGCTTTCGTCCCTGACATATTTTTCTCTGCAGTTGTTACGAAGAAGTAAGTAAGTAGTTCAGAAAAAAAAGCAAATATTTTAACTTTTAAGTATACGAGCGCCCACTAACAATTTTCCAGCAACTAGATTGAAACTCCAACAGATTTATTAAGAATTGTTGACGAGAGGATCGTTCGCTCGCACATATGGTTTTTTTCGATAACTTCTGATCTTGGTTCTGAGCGTATTCAGAGATAATATCTCTATTCTTTGTGTTCTTGAAGAATCGAAAACGCATTTCGTCATTACATAATTGAATAGTTTAGTTTTATATCTCTCTGATTTCCAGAGGCATTTTGAAAAAAAGATGAACTATTGTTTTTTCCTGGCTATCAACAAAAATTTGTTCGTAAAATGTTATCTAAAAGCAATTCATCGAAACTTTTAGGCATGAGGCATCCAATGCAGCAACCGCCTCCTCCACCGAGACTGCCAAACACACGTTTACCAAATGATGGCGGCGTCTTTTTTGGGGTAAGTTTTCCACTTATTATGCTTCATTTTAATGGGCATCTGAGCTGCTAAAACTCATTTTGTTTGAAAACATAAGTACAGTAGAAGGACAAAGCAAAACAATTTTTGATCTCGTTTCAGATATCTATTCATATAACTTGGCACATTGTGTACACATGAATGAGAAACTCGATAATAAACTATAATTGTAGGGAAATTGCATAAAAACACTAACTTTGCATCGCATAGAGCTAGATTAGCTCACGTATACCAGAGCTATAATTAGCTCATGTTTGAAGCAGTTATCGTTTATCACTGCTTTTTTGCTATTTTTTCCATTCTCTAGGGGAACAACGATTATCGTCGAAATTATCCACCAAATAATAATCAACAACAACAAATAAATCGACCATTTAAAAAAGACGCACAACAATGGTATCGTGGTCCATTGCCGCCACAACAAAATCAGTTAAACTCGAGACCTCCAGGCCCACCACCACTGTGTGGACCACCACCTCAACAACAACAACAATGGTTTCGGGGTCCACTTCCATCACAACAAAATCAGATGAATCCTCCGCCTCCTCCCTTAGTTCCACCACCATTTGGTACCCCATTTGGTTTGCCTCCTGTACCTCATCCGTTTATGATGATGGGTGGACCGCAACAAGAACAACAGCAACAACATGGTCATCAAAACAACAACATCAAATTTGAAGGCGGACAAATTCCATTTTTGGAAGGCGATTTACTTTACGATAATGGTGATATTCTTCACGAAGATTCAAATGAAAACAAACGGCTATTGCCTCCACAGCCAACAATATCAAATAATAACAGTCAGAATAGACGCGCAGATAAATCAAATAATCGAAATATTATATCCTATCAAGATCTTGATAGACCAGATGAACGTGAAACATCATCATTCGATACACTCGATTTATCGAGGTAAGTTGTTTGTGGATAGACATTAAAAAATTTGTATTTGTTTGTTTAGTTATTATTTCATTCTACCTGTTCTGTTTCAAAATGTCTATTTTTATTTTCAGGCGTCAAACCTCAAATAATAAAATTTCTACAGCTACATCTAGCTCAATTCAATCATCATCAATTACTAAGGCAAATACTGCCTCTTCGTTAACAACAACAAAAGAAAAATCATTCAACTTTGACGAAACATTAAAACTGGAATTGGATCGAATTAAAAAAGCTGATGCTGAGCAAAAAGAAAAATTAAAACAACAACGTTTACAAGCTGAATTAAATAAGGAAAAAACATTGACAACTGCGTCTAAACAACATGAAAAAAGAAACTGTAAGTGACTGAAAATATTAGTCATTTCAAACTTGTTTTTCACTAATGAATATAATTATTAAGTTTTTTGTCTGTTTCTTTTAGATAAAACCACCGAACGAGAGAAACGTGAAGATGGCGAATATAGTTCGGATGATGATGAAATCAATACAAAACGTCAACAAAAACCTCCATCAGCTCTCTCATCATCCGCCAATCTAACTCGGCAACAGACAAAATTAAAAAAACTTATCGATAATATGTCATCAAATGAGCGTAATACATTTATGAATTTGGCTACAGCTGCTTTGACAACTACAACAGTAGCCACTACAAATGTAAAACCTATTCCTGTGAAACAAGTCCAAACAACAACAACAACAACTACACAGCACCCATCACCACTACAACAAATTAGCGTTGAGAATGAAGATGAAGAAGAAGATTTCAGTTTAATGAAAATCATTCGTCCATTAAAACTATTTCATATCGATCCAGTTACATCGAAAGAATATCGTGAATATTTACAGAAAAATTATAAAACGGTTCGTTCGGTTTGTGACAAACCACAATGCAATTTTTTATCAAATCTTAGTTGCATTGAAGAACTAAAGCGACGACAAAAAATTATTCATAATAAGTACGTATCCAGCTTTTTCTTTCTAGTACCTGTCAATAGATGGGAGTGAGAGGCTATCCTATTTGCGCTAATTTCTCAGTAAAGCTTGTGTATGCACGTATTACTTAGGTTTAAGTCACTTGAGAACTTTTTGTGTAAAAATGTTAAAGAGACTTGATCTATTTGTTTTGATAATTTCACATTGCCGAATGATGATCTTGTATAAAATGGTAGACTTATAATACAAGACCTCAGATTAGTTTCGGTTATTGACGTATTTCATTATCATCCTGTTTTCTTGTTTCCGGATTGCTCTCGAGTCAACAACAGGAAACACCTGTAACACCAATGTTGAAACATTTATTAGCTGATGAAACTGAAGATGGTTCTGTAGCAGTTGCAATTAAAAGTGAGAAAATCAATCAAACGGGCATTGAACATGAAGATGGTGAGATAGATGAAAGTGATGATGAAATGAATAATTCTGGTCTTTTGAAAATGGAACTCGATGGAGACGATAAAAAGAAACGTAAAGTAACGGTAGATGAAGAACACCAACAGAAAGATGTTATTACGAAAAAACAGAAAACGTTGAATGATGAAATGAATACTGAAGAACAAGAACAAAATGACGATGGTACGAAGCAAAGTAGTGGATATTCTACTCTCACTGGGGCTGAGGATAAACCGTGGATGACACCAGAATTACGTCAATTAATTAAACAAAGAAAGCGTTTACAGGCACAAATTCTAGCAGGTGATACAAACGTGGAAGTGAAGAAAAAATTTAAAAAACTAAGAAATACAATATGCAGATTAGCAAGATCGTTGAAAGGTGAGAATACGTTTACTATAAGTATAGAAAAAGTAATTTTCTTGTTTTGACAAATAATGAGTAGACTGGGCATACAGTTTAACGAGAATGAGAGCTGAGCATAGCTAGTATTTATCTTGAATTCTGTTCATCTAGTCACGACAACAAGAACCTCTCTTTGTTCTAGCTAAGTATGAAAAATCAACCGCAAGTCCTAAATCTCCAACGACTATCAGCAACGGCATAAGTACTTTGAATCAGTCTTTGAATAATCTTCAACCATCTTTATCAAATGACGAAGCGGCCAATACAATAACAACATCATTAGCCTCTTCTACTACTGCATCTAATACACAGTCTCCATCTCAACAAAATTTACTTCAATCATTTTTGGATCCGACAATGTTTATGATGATGTTAATGAATCCAACTCTCTATTCAAGTGTACAACAACAAGTACTTTCAAATCCAAATTTTTTATCTGCTTATCAAAATATGGTCATGAAATCAACACCAGGTAAAACTAAATTAGAATTATTGCAAAACTACGATATATCATTATCTATAATCACTCTTTCTTCAAGGTAAAGGAACTAGTGAAACACAAGTTGTACCAGCACCTTCGGTCGATCAATTATTGAAACAAACAACAACCTCAACGTCTAAACCGCAGGAGAATAATAAATTAATGCAACAAATCTTATTAGGAAGTGGCTTGTCAACAAATCAGGTGAAAACAGAACGAATATTGGGTTTGGCGACAAAACCAATCAATCTGAACACATCTGATACTACATCTACACCAAGTACAGATTTATTAAATTTGTTAGAAAACGTGACAAGTGTAAATGTTGATAATCGAAAAGGACCACAAACACCTCCAGGTTCGCCGCCAAACAAAACAGGAATTACGGTACGTATAACTTTCCACGTCTTTATCTTTTACTGCATGCGTATTCATGTGAAGAAGGTAATAAGAAGTTACTTTTTTGATTTTCAGGCACAGACTGGAGCGAAGCCACGAACAATAAATACTCCAATTACACCATCTACTATTTCATCGATTACAAGTGACTCACCCAAAACTGCAGTGACACCCGGTGCCCCTGATCAACCAGAAATTCAATTTAATGCACAAGAGATGGCAAATAATTCGAAATTTCCCCGCCAGTTTCAACAGCAACATCAAAATCAAGGACAACCTGGTGTACGTTCACGTGAGCGCGGACACATCAATCGTCATATTCCTTTAACAAGTGAACAAATGAAAGAAGTATTGGCACGAGCGAAAAATTATGTAACAAGTAAGCAAAATGACGATGTACCCACGACACCACCCATCTCACATAGACGACATATATCAGCCGCACAACAGCAAAATATGATAACCCAAAAAGAAACAGCTGCACAACAAGCAGCTGCAGCAGCCATTGCGGCTGTCCAATCACAGGCACCATTGGCAATGAATACAACATCTTCTCCCCATTCGGCACATCCAATTCGAATTCAATTGGGTAAGTATAAAAGATTTAGCTGATACTTTAGAAAATATATAGTTGAAAGGAAAATAGATGTTCAGACGAAAAACTTTGAGAAGCAAACCGTTTTTATGTCACTTTGAAGCGAATAAGATAGGAGAGCTTAATACCAGGTAACGGTATAATTTATCCTTGGTCTACGAGCAGAGCATTGACATACAGAACTTTTTTCCCGGGTTTTTTCCTGAGAACACATTGCTTATAATCATACAAAATGTCTCTCGTTTTAATTTAGATTATCAAAAATCAAAAACTTTAACATCCGTAATACCAACGATCAACAATACACCCCCATCACCACTACTTCCCGTAAAAACATCACAATCTCCTGCTCCATCTATGGAGCCCACGTCATATCAGCCACCACCACCACAACAACAACAACCACCCTCACCATTTTTTCAACAAAATTGGGCTCAGCAGCGAGCTCTACAACCAAATTCACCATTTCCATTTACCCCTTCACCTCAAATTAGAGGACCATCGAGGCCACCACCACCAATGCATCCGCAACATCAGTATTCTCAACAACATCTTCCATTCGATCCTCAAGCTCAGTTTTATCCACATCGGTATCCACATCCATCTCAACAAATTTCTCAGCCACCTCCACCTCCAATTAGACATCCGGGTGTTTATAATCAAAATCAATATTATCCACCACATCATCATCCACAACATTATCCTCCACATCATTATCCTCCACCACGTTAAACACTTTCGTTTCATTTTCTAATGAGAATTCTTTTTTTCGCTCGCCCATATGTATTATATTTCTTCTGTCATTGTTGTTTGTTATGTGATTCAATTTATATTACTTTGTGTAGTGTCTGAGTATATTGGCTTTTTTTATAATTGTTTTCTTTCTCTCTTTCTGTAAACCGCGTAAGATGTGTTTTTCTCAAAAGAAAGATGATAAAACTTTATTATTTACCCACATATATTATGTGACGCATATGGACTTTTGTTTTCTTATTTTCAATATGAAAAAAAACAATGACGAATACGGCTTTATGAATCAAGGCGTGTTTTTCTTCTTTATTCAATTCTCTTTCTATTACTCTATAAAATGTGGATTTTTTTTCGTTTAGATTAGGTACGTTAGAGTTGATATTGTTTTTCATATCAAATGTTCGACATGAATAATACGCAAAATTTATTGTACACTCGATGAAAGCTCATCATACCATCGCGATGGAAAGTTATTGAAACCACCCTAGTAGACCTTGGATATTTGCTTCATCACATGAAGTACAGCATACTCGGAAAAATCATTGGCTGGCGCCAATGAGGTCCAAAGCTAGTTAATTTTGGAGCATCCTTCATAAAAACTAGATTTTTGCATAAAAAGTCACCAGACGTGTTCATTTTCAAAAAGACATAGAAAACATATTCTGAATTTCGTAAATCATCTAAAATTGAACTTTTCCATTTATATCTGCATGCCTGATGACTGATGAACAGGTAATAGAGTCTTAAAGCCATGATCCACAAGCAATTTTGCAAACACAAACACTTTCAAGTGAATCCAATGACTTGTCTTGTTTAACTCGAGAATGTACGTATTTCTTTAATAAGCTATAATTTATGAGAAAATTAATGCGTTAATTTTACGATGAGAAATTCTTGGCATCCGCTTTTGTTTTGCATGTTCTTCTTGCTTTTGAAAACCAGATATAACAAAAAGCATGACAACTTGTTAACAGATTATATTTCAGCATATAACATTATCGTACTCAAAAGTTCGGGGCAAAACTATCATTAAGACTAAATCAACTTCTCAAGAAATTTCCTCTAACTAGAGAGACTAGTTTTCACACTTTGATCTAGAACTTTTATCTCATTTTTAGATGAACTATTTGGAGAACGATGTTTATTCAAATGTAAAGGTTGAGTGGGTTGATGTTTCACCTAGAGAACGTGAACGAATTTTATGTAAGTTCGTTTGCCGCATTATAACTTTTTAATTCATGTTATTAGTTCTTTTGCAGCGTTAAATAGTAAACATCAACAGAAACAAAAAAAGATAAAACCTGTTGAATCACCAGTATCAAATGTGGTAAGTAAAACAGAAAAGATATATGCTGAAGAAAGATTATCTTATTGTGAAATGTTTTCTTTTAGTTCCATTTATCTCAAGATGCAATGGCTGCTCGCGTCTTCAGTATTGTTCAAACGACAACGAACTACGCTCAAAGACCGCTGAGAATAGGCAGTTCAAAATGGTAAGACTCCTAGTTATTACTTTATTTCGTCTCATTTCAAATAATTTTAAAATGATATGTTTTGTGTCATAAGTGTTTTGTTTTACGCATCTTCTTTTAGCTCATTAACAGCCGCAAGTGACAAGAGTAAAAAAGAAAATTTTGATGCAGCTATGAAAGAATTATCCGGTTTCCTTGATCAAGCTGAACGTATGTCTGATATTTATTATTTATAATATGTAGAATCATTGTTTTACTATTTTTTTTCAGAAGTGCAAACTCAGGATTACACGTAGGTACCATGTGTCTTGATTTGTTTTCTCCTGCGACATCAATTAAAAATGTACGTGTTTTCGATTTTAGAATTCTCCCAGCAGCAAAACGTCTTCGTTCATCGCCCTCCAACGCCATGGAACAGTCACAATCAACAATTGCTCGTTTTTCTAGTCATGACAGTTATTTAAAACCTTTTCCACCAGCCTCTCCTCCACAATCATCATTATTATTAATATCACCAAACGATGACGATAATTCGTTTTTTCAAGATGCTTGTTTATCAGATTGGAATACGCCACCATCAAATAGAAAAATGACTTCGACGATCACCACACCTACAACAGTAGTATGTGAAATAGGAAATAAAAATCGAACTATGTCATCATCCGTAGCCACATTTCCAATGTACAGAAAATCAACAGTTACCGAAACAATTACAACAATTCAAGATCCTACAGGTATGTTAATAAACACAATACGAATAAGACTTGTGAGCAGAGTTATCAAAACTGATTTATTCGAGCAATATTCTATTTTCGGGTGCTTTATCGACTTCTTACCTAAAACTGCTAAAATTTTAGAATATCAAACAAATAATTAATAAAAAACAAAATTTTGAGCAAGTTTTGGGAACTTTCAGCTCACTTGAATCATTCGAAACTTATGCAACAATAGTTCTTTTATATATCATTCGTTTTTTCTAGAAACCATTATTGAACAAGAAAAGCAAATACCTAGTACTACTACTATTACTAGTACAATTGATTGGGGTGACGATGGTGCTGATGACTGGCTAAGCCAAATTCCAATGGAAAGTCTTGTGAGCGAAAGTCTAAAACCGAAGACAACATTGCCAGTTGATGACATATTAAAAGTGGTATATGATGATTCGTTATTAAACGAAAATGCAACGCAAAATAATACTCGAATACTGCAGAATAAAGAAGTATTCAAAACATTTATTAATTCAGATAATAATTTAAATGATACGATCCCAACACTTCAAAGTCCAAAAGATGTTGTGCCACTTTCTCCACTACCAACGGTTACGTTGAAAACTGCTGCAGCCATTCATCGAACAATAACCGATCCATTACCGACACATTGTTATAGACTACAACAGCAACAACAACAATCAAATGAATTGAAGCGTACACGTTGTGATTCCGTACCGCAGCCTTCAAATAATGTTGTTGTTGTTAAAAGACAATGTACACCGGAGGAAATTGAACAAAAACGTCGAGCGGCATTAGAAAAACGAAAACAAGCATCTTTAGTTCAAGTAAAACAGCGTTAGAAATATTGTTATTATTATTATTATTATATATTTATTCTTATCTCATACGCCATGTGTTTGTTTTTTGCTAGATTATTTTTATACATTTTGCTCTCTTTCTGATTTGTTTTCACTTGTTTTTTTCAACTCTATAGTCGTGATAGTCATTGATGTGTAATTTTTTTCCATTTTATATTCGACTGCATCTATATAAATAATCTCGATAACATAATAAACATTTTTGATATAAAAATGATTAACACAAAATGTAAACACGTCAATATGATGTATGTAATGGTTTTTCCTTTGCCACTGTTTGAATACTGTTTTTCTCGTATCGATGAATTATCGAATAATTGTAGAAGAAAGAAATTTGTATAAGAATTGCTACAGCGTAGCACAGAGTCATCCAATATAACTTGCTGAAAAGAAGGAATTAAAGTTGTCTTTTATAAATGAAATGTAAAACGCCTATCAGAAATTGTTTGTATAGATCATCCAATTCTATCCTTTTTGATAACGGAAAATGTTTTTTAGACTGTTGATAGTCAGCTGTTGTCGCGTTTTAAAGTTAGAACCCATATGTGAACTATACACTAAACTGCGAAAAACAGTTTGGTGAAGCATATGCCACACGTAAAATACTAATCTTTGGTTCATGAAATGTTCGATCGTGTTTGAACACGACAAATAATCCTGTATCAAGTCAAGAAATGCCATATACAAATTTGTGCATCAGGCTAACCGACGATACGTAATGGTATTTTAACATTAATCATCTAGATTTGCGAGTAACGAAAGTGTAAATACAAACAAAATAATAATAATCGTCTTTTGATCTTTCAACCACTAGATCATAACAAATTTTCAATAAATGGCATGGATGAATCCAAACAGGAAAGAGTGGCATATGTTAGGCAACACTTTAGTCAACAAGAATTTTAGGACGAGTGTTCACGATGTTAGAGAACACAAGACGACTGCGAGTGAAATGAATACTAATTGTAATTTGATTTGGTTAAAAATTAAAAATGTTGTAAGATAGATCAAAAACAAGATTGCATATTGACCATTGTACAGTCCAAAATAAAGAGTTGATTACATCTTTTGAGAAAAAAATAGATCAAAAACAATCCAGTGAGAGTAATTATAATATGGCGATCAATCAAAAATACAAAAAACTCGTTGGGACGAAATGAGTGAAGAGGTTGAAACCGCTAGTATGCAGCTTGAATCAGCTACAGCGTTTAGCATGATGTGCAAATTACATTTTAATTATTAATAGGTTCTAATATAACGTGTCGAGAGACTTTTCACAAGACGACACAATAGAAATCGTAATAACAACAGCGGTCAATACAGTATGTATTGCCATTTCGTATTAGGAAGAAAAGTTATGAATATTCTATACACGCGTGCTATCAATACGTAAACTCTTTAGCTATCCATTCTTCACGGGATTTCTAATTCTGTTTTTACTGTACGGAAAAAACCAAGATTCTAGAAAATCCTAAAAAAACGAAATCCCAAGAGTCCAGTTGAAACATTTTACAAACAGCGCACTTATGTAGAGCAAACATTTGTGAACAAAATGAGAAGAATCCGACTTCTATGCGATATTTCCTTGTGAAACTGTAGTCACTTCAAGAAAGCCTACTATGTTCATTTTCTTACTCTTTTTATTCCTCTTCTACCGGTTTTGCTGATTCTGATGAAGAACAGTCTTTCATAAATTGAACACTGCTTCGTTCTCGATTTCGTTCTGGTTCAGGATTAAAGCTTAAACCAAGAAATATCGTTTGGGTCATGAAAAATGTAGGCGATGATGTAAAACAAGATCAGATTTAAACTGAAATTGACGCTAACAGATCCAAACAAATATCGTTAGGTATTGGGTAATGAATGAATCGATAGCCGTCGCCTACAATGATTGCGAGTTTTTTCTTATTTCGATGGTGTCTTCTGTAGTATCTGACGTTATTTAAGTTCTGTTTTCTTAACAGCTAATTGGACAGTAGTCATCTTCGATAATATTAGCTAATAATATCGCTACTGTCACTCATAGCCGTCAACTTTTCTTTTCTTTTCCGGTTTTGCGAACAGTAGTTCTGTACATTTTGGTTGTGATAGCGATTTGAAATTGGATGTATCAATTGCCCAAGCATTTTCTTTTTGTCTAGTTGTGAATTTGTTTCATATTTATAACTATACGTAACGAGAAACAGAAAACTTCAAAAAGTATCTGTTATCTCGGAGTAGTAGTAAGTATCTTTATGTACGGCAAAACGCTCGTTTTTGCCGTCTGACATATCAGGCACGTAGCCAGGATTTTGGGGTATACTGGATCTCAACTTCAGAGCATGGGACCCAGATGAACCTTATGGAGGATGATATTGGGCCCAAATGATGAGTTTCTAATAAAAAAAACTTTGCGATTGGAGTTTGCGAAAAAAAAAAAGTTTTTTCTTTGGGCACCCCCCTCAAAATTTTTTTGCTTTTTTTAGTATTCCATTTTCTAGAATTTTATCGTAATCTACATCGAATTTCATCGGCAGATTCTAAATTTCATCTAAAAATATGCACCCGTTCAGGAGTTATAACGTTTCGAATTTTTGCGAAAATTT